TTTTTTTCGGCAAAAAACGCCTTACTATACATGGTCGTTTTTTTTCGGCAAAAAAAGCCTTACTATTCATGGTCATTTTTTTGATGGCAAAAATCGCGTTATTATACATGGTCGTTTTTTTCGGCAAAAAAAGCCTTACTATACATGGCCGTTTTTTTTCGGCAAAAAACGCCTTACTATACATGGTCGTTTTTTTTCGGCAAAAAAAGCCTTACTATACATGGCCGTTTTTTTTCGACGAAAAAAGCCTTAGTATACATGGTGGTTTTTTTCGGCAAAAAACACCTTACTCTACATGGCCGTTTTTTTCGGCAAAAAAAGCCTTACTATACATGGCCGTTTTCTTCGGCAAAAAACGCCTTATTATCCATGGTCGCTTTTTTCGGGTTAAAACACCTTCCTATACATGGTCGTTTTTTTCGGGTTAAAACGCCTTACTATACATGGCCGTTTTCTTCGGCAAAAAACGCCTTATTATCCATGGTCGCTTTTTTCGGGTTAAAACACCTTCCTATACATGGTCGTTTTTTTCGGGTTAAAACGCCTTACTATACATGGCCGTTTTCTTCGGCAAAAAACGCCTTATTATCCATGGTCGCTTTTTTCGGCAAAAAACGCCTTACTATACATGGTCGTTCTTCTCGGCAAAAAAACGGCTAACTATACATGGCCTTTTTTTCGGCAAAATACGCCTTACTATACATGGTCGTTTTTTTCGTGAAAAAAAGCCTTACTATACATGGTCGTTTTTTTGATCAAAAAAAGCCTTCCTATACATGGTCGTTCTTCTCGGCAAAAAACGCCTGACTAAACATGGCCGTTTTTTTCGGCAAAAAAAGCCTTGCTATAAATGGCCGTTTTTTTCGGCAAAAAACGCCTTACTATACTTGGTCATTTTTCCGGCAAAAAAAGCCTAACTATACATGGTCATTTTTTTGAGGGCAAAAAACGCATTACGACATATGGTCGTTTTTTTCGGCAAAAAAAGCCTTACTATACATGGTCGTTTTTTTCGGCTAAAAACGCCTTACTACACATGGTCGTTTTTTTTTCGGCTGAAAACGCCTTACTATACTATGTCG